AATACAGATGTTGCTAACAGATATTATATTGCAAACTGGCTTAAGCACCTATTGGCGATTATGGATTACAATCACCATAGTCTTCATTTGCATGTTCCAATGAATATAGTTCCTTAGCTCTGCTCTGAGAGAACCCTGTTTAGTTACTCTGCTGCACTTCCTTGCAGCATTCTTAACCTCCTAAAAATCTTGTTTCTCCAAGCCCTTGCAGTTTTCACTTACTGCTTCCTTTCCCCACTCCTCAGACTCACCCTTCGATTTAGATTAGGCTTTAATTAGTCTTTGTCTTTTGACCCTAACAGGAAACAAAGTTGGCTCTACAGCAGCAGTCCAGCATGAAGCAAAGCTTAGAGGAACAGTCTGAGAAGCTCTGCAAGATCTGTGAGCCCGGTGATGCGCAAATCCTCAATAACAGAGTAGAAAGCTGTCTTCAGTCTTACTGTGAGGCTCAACGTTTAGCTGAGCTGCAGTTCGAGTGCCTTGAGAAGCTGGAGACGTTCTTGCAGACTCGCAGTGTGGTGGCTGGAGTTCTGCAGGGTCTCAGACAGACTGTGGAGAACGCTGGGAGCTGGGACCGTGGGAGGGTAGAGGAGCTTCAGCAAGAACTTGCCACTGTTATTCCTGACATAAGTAATCTGGAGAGTTCAGCTGTCAATCTGGACAGCAGCCTTTGTAAAGCTCATCTCCACATAGGGGCTGAAGAGGGTTCACGTAAATCATGCCGCTCGCTTGCTGATTCACTGAGTGCTGAGTTGGATACAGTCAGGAACCTGCTTGGCTCGAAGCAAAATGAAGCGGAGGCCCTGGGTGTTTTGTGGACGTCATTTCGACAGCGGAAAGAGCAGCTGCTCAAGGCTGTGGAGGACATTGAGGAGAAAGCTGATCACCAAACCTTCAAAGAGCCCAGCTTGCATGCTCTACAGCAACGGTATGGTGCCAATAAGCAAATATAAGTTTGCTTTACATATTTTTCTGGGAAAGAACAAGGGAATGTATATTGTGAATTGGATGGAAACAAATTCTTAGTTTTCAAATGAAGAAAAAATGTGCATGTGTGACATGCACATGTTAGGAATCAATAATATGCAAATTTACTTTACAGCTGCCATCCTTTTGAGGTAAATCTTCCAGCTTTGCTCTGTCGCCACCGAATCCGTCTCGGAAGCCCGATCCGTACCATCATTTCATTTGTGCATGCACAACTTAATATACATCCGGGTCGCCCTCAATTTTATTTTGTAAAAAGGAAATAAATTAAATTTTTCCTCCTAAAAAATAGTAAGCATGCTGAACTATAATGTGTAATAGATTAATAAGTTAATTCCTGAGAAAATAATTCATTAAAATCCTTTCTGTTTTATCACTCGTCTGTGCACCGGAAATGGGATCCTACATAACTTCTGGGAGCTAACTTTTTTGGCTTTGGATTTAAAGATTAATCTAGTATTTTGGGGTTTTATGTAGAAACAAAAAAACTAAATTGCAGATAAACATTGTTTACCGTAATCATATTTTGCCAGACCACTCTGAGCATGTCTGACGATGACATCATACGAGCAGTTTAACAGAGAATATGTTAAAAAGTATCAACATTTTCTAAGAAAAGTCATAAAATGTTTTTTTTTAAAGATGTGTATTAGCGTTCTCTAGTGAGTTAAGGATAGAAATACGTAATGTTATTATCATAATTACCTTTTTTATGGAAACACGGATCTATATCTGGTTGTTTATGTGCAAATAAGCTAATAGATCGCGTTTCCGGGACGGATCGGATAGTGACAGGCACATCTAAACGCTCACAATTAATCTTTGACGAATGCATCAAGATTAGTCAGATGGGTTGCATGTTTTGAGCCTCTTGTAAATTCGTAGGTCTGACCTTTTATATGCTTTTACCTAAATTATTCCATTGCAGCTGTGATTCTGTTTAGAATAAAAGGGAACATCTGTTCCAGGAAACCCTTTACACAGCCTTACAGTTTTCTTCAGGTTATTTTTTTTAGCTGCATTTATTTTCCAAACAGGTTTCCAGTTGTGCCATTATCTTTGTGTTTATGGATAATTGATTTTATATGGGCTGCGCAGTAGCACACCATAGTTTTAGCACCGTAACCTTGCACCAAGAAGGTCTTGGGTTCAACTCCCAAGCTGCAAAAACATAACTGTCAACTGATGAATAAATTGTCCTTAGACATGTTTGTGTGCATGGTGGTGTGTCTCTGTGTTACACTCAGAGACGTCAAATATTTAATTAATCAAGTCCCTTGTAAAAGACAACTGGATTAAATAGGTTTTATTTAGTGTATCAAATTTTAAGAGGGCGAAAAAATTGAGATTGTTGCATTTTTTAAGTAATGCTATTATCTTGTATTATTTCCTTCTTCTTCATAATTATGCATCTATCTATGTTAGTTTATCACATAAAAGACCAACAGAACACATTAAAATGTTGGATGTAAGGTGAGAAAATGTGTGAAAGTTAAAATGATAGGAGCAGTTTTTCAAGACAATTATAACCATCACGTGTGTTTGTGGTGTTTTTGAGATGTAGTAACAAGCCACCGTCCTTTTTTATCAGACTTCGGTTCTTTAACCAGTTAGAGGACGAGCTCCAGTCACACCAGCATGAAGAACAGTGGCTGAGGGACAAAGGCAACCAGCTGGCGCAGAGAGACGCAGAACTGGCAGGGGAGGTTTTGAGGGAAATTAGTCTGCTGGAGACAACATGGGAGGACACAAAGAGGCTGATAGCAGAACGGTACTGTGAGGATTCAATGGATATGTTGGCATGATTTAACATTTTTTTGGCATAATGACCTATAGCTTGTTTTTTTTTTTTTCTTTTAAACTTTTTTCCTTATTTTTCAGACAAGAACATTGTAATGTCCTTGCTGGGCTTATGAGAGAATACCAAACCCTGAAAACCAGCATCAATGGCATCATGGAGACGGCTGAACCTCTGGTAGACATCAGCTCTGTTCTGAAGGATTATGAGGAAACCAAGAGATCACTAACCAAGGTTTGAGCAAAAAAACTGTTCTTACTCTTTTCTGTCATTTGTGATCAAACCTTTGATTGATTACCTATATTAAACCTTTTTTTCTTCCTCCGCCTTCAATGCAGCACCAATCATTGAAGGCAGATATGGGTGGCAAGCAGCGGGAACTGGATCAGTTTTCAGGCAAGGGAAAACAACTCGTGACTGAACTGAAGAAGATCCCAGAGTGCGATTGTGAAATGATCAGAAAAGATGTGGAGAAAACTGTTGATCACTGGCTGGATGTAAGTTTGTCTCAAATACAGTGGGGAGAACAAGTATTTGATACACTGTTGATTTTTCAGGTTTTCCGAATTGCAAAGCTTGTAGAAGACTGTAATTTTTATCATAGGTACTCTTCAACTGTGAGTGATGGAATCTAAAACAAAAATCCAGAAAAATACAATGTATGATTTTTAAATAATTAATTTCCATTTTATTGAGTGAAAAAAGTATTTGATACACCAGAACAATGAAACTTGATATTTGGTACAGAAACCTTTGTTTGCAATTACAGAGATCAGACGTTTCCTGTAGTTCTTGACCAGGTTTGCAGACACTGCAGCAGGGTTTTTGGCCCACTCCTCCATACAGATCTCCTCCAGAGCCTTCAGGTTTCAGGGCTGTCGCTGGGCCACACAGACTGTAAGCTCCCTCCAAAGATTTTCTATCTGATTTAGGTCTGGAGACTGGCTAGGCCACTCCAGGACCTTAAGATGTTTCCTACGGAGCCACTCTTTAGTTGCCCTGGCTGTGTGTTTTGGGTCGTTATCATGCTGGAAGACCCAGCCACGACCCATCTTAAGTGCTCTTACTGGGGGAAGGAGGTTGTTGGCCAAAATCTCACGACACATGGCCCCATCCATCCTTCCCACCATATGGTGCAGTTTTCCTGTCCCCTTTGCAGAAAAGCATCCCCAAAGAATGATGTTTCCACCGCCATGCTTCACGGTTGGGTTCTTGGGGTTGTACTCATCATTCTTCTTCCTCCAAACATGACGAGTGGAGTTTAAACCAAAAAGTTCTATTTTTGTCTCATCAGACCACATGACCTTCTCCCATTCCTCCACTGGATCATTCGTATGGTCATTTGCAAACATCAGACGGGCTTTGACATGCGTTGGCTTGAGGAAGGGCACCTTGCGTGCACTGCAGGATTTTAATCCTTGACGGCGTAGAGTGTTACTGATTGTTTTCTTTGAGACTGTGGCCCCAGCTCTATTCAGGTCATTGACCAGGTCCTACTAGCAGACGGTTCAACGGATGTTTATGTAAACCACTTTATTGTCCAACAATGGGGAAATTCACTCTCTGCATTTAACCCATCCCCTTTGGGAGTAGTGGGCTGCCAATGTGTGGTGCCTAGGGATCGAACCGGGTACTTGCAACCTTCTCAGAGCACAATCACACACTAAATATTTATCTCTTAGTCACAGCTATGTTTTTTGCCACACTTCCTTCAGCATTAATGAGGTAAAGCAGAGGCTATTGTCTATAAACACAGACTTTTTAAACTTATATTGTGAGCATTTCGGCCTTATTTAAACCAAAGAAGTTCTGAGTCAATCACATGATCCTGTTAAATTTTTCCCTAGGTGTCTGAGAAAATAGAAGAAAACATTGATCGGCTCCGTCACAGTCTTGAGTTATGGGGTGATGTGCGTAACCTAAACGAGGACATCGAGGGTTGGACGAGCAGTTGTGTGGTGGAACTGAATGAAATCCTGAGCAATTTCAGCAACAGTCAGAAGGTGTCAGAAAGGCTCTCTGGGCTACAGGTACAGAAAGACTTTCAGAGGTCATAAAAAATTAGAGATTGTTTTTTTCTGCTTAATCAGGATCGGTTATTAAAGGACACATCTAATTAAATCAAGAGGCTGTAGAACATGTTTATTTTCTGGTTTCTTCAACAGGGAGAAATTAAAGAGAAGGAGCAGAAACTTGATGTCCTCCAAACAAAAGTTTCCCAGCTGACCAAGTGCTGTCACAGCGAAGATACTCCTGCTAAATTGCAGGTAATTGATGACTAAAAACTTTTTATTGTTATGCAAATAATACTGTTAATTTTAAATAATTTTGCCATCACTGAAATATAATCGGTGGATTCTCACCTTCAAAACTAAATAGCAATTTTTTTATAATGATTTTGTGTTATAACTATGACTTGCAAAAATATTCAAATCAGGCCTTTTATGCAGCAAATCCCTGAGTAATAGAACTTTATTGTTATTTTACTATAATGTTTTTGTTTATATTACTAACTGTTGATAAATATCCCCATCCGTGCGGTCACAACCCAACCCATAAAATCATGACCATAAAAAGGGACAGACTGATTTCAGAGGCCGATTAAGGGTTTGTAAATGTATTTCATTTGGGTTTAGTTGAAAGAAACATCCGGAAGGCCTTGCATGTGACTATGAGTCAATCGGTTGTGTTTGAGTTTTATAAAAACGTGAATGTGTGTTATAAATATAAATAGCCAAACAAGCTTAGAAAATAACCACAGAGAGAATATTTAACTTGGAGAACTAGAGAGAATATTTAATATTGAGGAAGGCAAAGACAGAAGTCTCCAATTTGAGTTTTTATTTAAAAAATGCAGATCATTGATTTAAATGTTAGACTCCAAAAAAGCTGAACTTTTAAGACAATAACCAACGCCCAACAAGGGCTATATCTTAGTTGTAGCATCATGAATGAAAAACCCAAACTCCCTTGAGGTATAAAATACATTTTTAAGTTGTTTCCTTTGTTTCCTTTTAAAACACCTTACTTTATTGAAAATAGCCGGAACTAGTGGTTATATTATCACCTAAAGAACATCTCCAGGATGAAATAACTAATGTCCAATCGGGATCTAGAAAAACTCATCAATGCATGTATCTTTAGTAGAATCAATTACTGTAATAGTGTCTTCACAGGTTTGCCTAAAAAGCCCATCTGACAGCTGCAGCTGAACCTAAACGCTTCTGCCTGTTTTCTAACTACAACTAAGAAAGCAGAGACATCATCCCGGGTCTGAAGTCCTTCCACTGGCTCCCTGTAGCTCAGAGAATAGACTTTAAATTCCTTTTGTTAGTCTATAAATTACTGAATAGATCAGCACCTCAATGCATAATAGATCTGTTGTCAGTTATTAACCTCCCAGACCACTCAGGCCTTCTAGTTCAACCCTACATTACTTCTTACACCCAGGACTAGAACTAATCGTTGGTTCCTATGTTCCACTTATCTGTAGCAAAACTCCCAGAAGACTGTAAAAGTGCTGAAAGACAATTTTTTTCAATTTAAAGTTAAAAACCCTTTTGTTTAGAACTGCCTTTGACTGTTGAAGCTAAACTGTTAATGGAGCTATTATTAGTTTAGGTTTGTGGTCCAACTGTTTTTGTTTTCCCTACCTGCTTTTATCTTTACTTGCTTTTATTTTACTTCTATTTTATTTTCTAATTAATGTAAAACATTAAACTTGTCCTTGTACTGAATTGTGCTATTTAAACAAACTTACATTGCCTACATTGTGCCAATGTTTTGGTTCTGTTAACACACAAAGGTTTTGGAGACTGACCTACGGAAGAAGATCACTTCTGTTCAGATGCTACATGAACAGGTTCAAGGGAACCTGACTGACTTCAGATCTCAGCGTAAACAGCTTGAAGACTACATCTCACAGATGTCTGCTTGGCTAAAGAGCATGGAAGACTCTTTGGTTTCCTCTCCATCAGGATCAGATCCCGAGGACATCTGCAGAGTAAAGGTACAACCATAACAGCTGTTAAATAGTAGTAGAACCATCTGTTATCTGAAAAAAAAAATAAATGGAAAGACCTTTGTCAGATCTAACGACATTTCCAGATAAAAACCCAAACTCATTTCTGAACATTATTGGCAGGACCTTCAGAAAGAGCTTCAAAATCAGCAGGGTAGTATTGACTCAACCAGGGAGAGCCTCAACACACTGTGCAGAAAATATCCCTCTGAGGAGCTGGCCAGCTTAGGGTCGTCTCTCACTGACCTCATCAAGGCGTATGAGTCTGTGAACCAGCTCTCTGCAAGGAAACTCAACTCCTTACAAAACTGTCTTCAACAACACTTCAATGGTAAGACACTAAACTACTGATCCTATAATACACTGGTCTTGTTTTAAACCTCTGCTACCTGAATGTATATCCTTTAATATAAAAATTTAATTTTTTGTTGTATCATGAGATGTTGAATTAATAAAATTCCTACTATTACTCCTGTAGATTTGAATTAGCAAAATCAGGCACAACAGGATTAAGTAGGGATGCACGATATAATCGGCCCCCTATCGGTATCGGCCTTAAAACTGAATATCGGACATCGGCCACCCC